TAGATCTCGCGACCACCTTGGACTACTAGACTTGATGCCAATGTGGTCTAGATCTGGTGAACCACCTTGGCCTACTAGACTTGATGCCAACGTGGTCTAGATCTCGCGACCACCTTGGTCTATTAGACTTGATGCCAACGTTACCATAAGGCCCAACTTAAATAAAATTAATTGTTATTATTGATCTGACCTTATAAACACAATTAATGCCTTGTAGATAATCAATATGGTACACGATTATTTTTGGGGTGTAAACAGATTGTCTCTACCTGGAGAAACGAAGGGCAGAAAGGAAGACGAAAGAAGATAGATCTAGAAAATTGTGTTTAAGTTAGAGAGAAACCAGTAAAGATAGATGGGTAATACCTTGTTCTGGCCCGAACTATACCTAAATAATAAAATTTGGCTAGTGGTTTGAGAAATTGCTATCCTAGCCTCAACTATATATCATATAGACTAGTTTAGCTAGACGCTTGATTTGACCGTCAATTTGGACAGTCAACGGTCAACGCTCTAGCTCACTCCCACATCAGCACCAAGTAAATAAAAATTCTAATTTAAAATTATTTTCCAGATTTCATTTATTTAATATAAAATAAACAAAAAAGAAATTGAACCAACTGTAGCGAAAACACGCTACCACTACTTGTCGCATCCACATTGCAGGAAGAACCATCTCCCGCCGAATCTCATCATTATCATCTTCATCACCACAGACAAAGCTAGTATCCGGGAGGCCACTAACAATCGACCTTATAATGTCCGACGAAGCATCATCCATCATACTCCAGCGAACTTCCGCAGCGAGCTCGAACTCATCCCCCCTGGATCGAAGGGTTTACGATCTTCTCAACCTCGCCCCACTTTTTCCACGCCATCCCCCACCCAGCCAATTTGATTTCCTCCCTTTTCTGCGCCATCGAGTTTACAATCGCAGCCTCGCATAGACCTCCTCAAGCAAGACAACCCCAAACAATTAGACATCATGTTGTGGTGGTCCGGGTCGGGTAGACCTGACTAAGAAAGCCCGAAATCGGTCACCTTCGCAGTTTAATCCTCGTCCAGGTGCAGATCTCGAACCTCTGTTTTCAATTTAGCGTGGTGGAAGCCATGGGGGGGGGAGAATTGGAATCGTCATATCTGTAGAGATGGTCTGTTGAAATTCTCCGTCACTGCCAGGATTTTGGACAAAGGCATCTTGAACTTGAGATTCAGATCCGGGAGTGGGGGAGCTCTGGGTGGTGGTGTTATCCTTGTGGATGGTAATTGAGCTACGAGAATTGTTCTCCCCGATGGTTGCGTTCTTCCCGGAATTGGAACCTTTCTTGTTGTTATTCTTCCTCTTCAGCAGGAACGCGATTACCGAAATCAGAACCATGGTGAAGCCAGAAGGCAAGATTCCTCTGGTGATTAGGGTGGTTTCCTTGCCATCCGTTTCGTTTACTGGTGCAGTGGGGAGAAATTTCGTGATTTCCAGAGAGGCCAACAAATATGGTTTAATTTCTTTTTTTGTTTGAATTATTTTATTATTAAATAAATGAAATATGAAAAATAATTTCAAATTATAAAGTTTTATTTATTTAGTGTTGACGTGGCAGTTAGCAGGAGCGTTGATCGCTAGTCAATGGTGTTGACCGTTCAAATTGACATCAAAACAAGCGTCCGGCTAAACTAGTCTATATGGTGTATAGTTGAGGCCAAGATAACAATTTATAAAACTACTGGACAAAATTGATTATTTGGTTATAGTTCGAGCCAAAATAAGGTATTAACCCAATATACATCTATTTGCACGGTTACCTTTAAGAGGAAAAAGAATGAGAAATGAGATAAAGGGAGAGAGTGAGTTTGTCATTCTTTAAGTAGAGACAAATGAGTTGGACGACAAAATGAGAAATGGAAGATTTGGAATAGGGTGCATAACCAAGGGGTTATACATAAATTCATAACTATATCTGAGTTTTTTTATTTTAAGTGGAGCCAGATTTTTTTTTCTCTCCATAAGCTCATGAAATTATAAAGATCAATAAGATAGAAGTATTTACACAATAGAGCTAACATACCGTATGGTATAAATGAATTTCATAAGTTTTGAGAAATTCATTTTCAAATGAAATATTTTTTTGTTTGGTATTTAAAAGTAGGGCTAATACCACTGGAAATACCATCCTTTAGCGAAAGTGTCATTTATATTACGTACTTTCAATAATCACAAAAACATTCCAACGTATTAGGGGTTCGCGTCATTTGTGTTATGCGTATTTCTGTTGACTGTTAGAATTGACGGTTGACCTAACGGTGGTCAACCTATGTTTGACTATTGATTATATGGAGCTTATGTGGCAGACATGTATGCGCCACATATGATATTATTATTAAATAATCCATTAAATATTTCCCATTAAATAAAAAATTATAATTAAAAGGAAAAAGTAGTCGTCGCCTCCACCTAGTTGGAAAACATAACAAATATGTTGCCGCCGCAAGATCTCGACAGCTCCGTCGGCAACCCCGACGGTCGATCTCCCTTAATCAAAAACTAGTGGCGCACTCACTCAAGGTTCAATAAAGCTCATCAGAAAGGCCACGCCTTTCTTCTCCGATGCGTCCTCCGCCAAGGATTGCGATGGGACGGTCAGGATGTGGTTGGCGGCATCGAGTCTTCTGGCATCAGAGAGACATCTCATCAACCTCAAAATTAGGTCACATCTTCTTTCTTACTTCATCCTCCACACATATTCAGCATATCACCATGAGTAGTAAGGATGCGAACGGCCATCGACACCGTCATCGACTGAGTTGCCGCTTTTCTACCTGCAATTGCACCCCTATTCCATTTTCCCCACCTTATCTGGGCAAATCACTCAAGAACGAATATGAGTTGGAGTAAGGAAACCCCTGATTTAGGAAAATCCTCCAAAGGGACCTGGTTTTCCCCTATTTGAAACACCTAAATCGGTCGGCAATGGGGTGAACCTGGTTTCGAATCCCTAAATCAATTGACCGGATTTTTCCCGATTCGGCCGACATCGAGGGAAGTTCCGCCTTCAAAAGCTTCTAAAGAGCTTCCTTTCATAGCTTCCTCGTTGCTCCAAAAATCTAGAACGAGCGGAGGTTGGCGATGGAGGAAAAGGAATTGGGAATTTGTTGAAGGAGGCGGGATGAGAGACGGCGAAGTGGAAGAGGGGAGCTATTGTAGCCACAAATACAAACCAGAGGGATGAAGCGGTGGAGCGGCGAAGAGGGATGAAGCGGTGAAGGAGAGAGGGCAGAGGAGGCGATTGGTGGTGGGGGAGGGAAGTCGCCGGGAGGGGATGAAAAGTCGCACGAGGATGATACAAGCAGGCGCAGTGGGTAAGAGGAATAGCCGATTTTTTTTATAAATGAATTTTTAGTAAATTTTCCATGTCAGCTGCCACGTGTATGCTGACTGTGTTTTCTGTCAATTTCTAACGGAAAACTTAACGGAGAAAACGATTTGGTATACAAATGACATATCGAAAAGTACGTAATATAAATGACACTTTCGCTAAAGAATGGTATTTCCAGTGGTATTAGCCCTTAAAAGTATTCATTTCCAAATTCTAAATTTTGAATTCTATGGAATTGGAACTAGTTATAGCAATTCCAAGGAATTTAGATGAAATTTCCAAATGAATTCCACAAGTAATTACTAATTATTATAGAATGACACAATTATCCTCTTTTATTAACTAAATTATTTATACATAATTCATTTGACAATAAATTTCACACAACAATTCATTTTATTTCTAAAGATTTGAATATGATATATTAAACACAAATTTTCATTTGACAATGAATTCTACACGGTAATTCATGTTACAAAGAAATGAATTCTCGATTCATATGGTCCAAACACACTCAACATTGCAAGGTAGAAAGAAAAGGCATTCTTAGCCATCAAATAAGCTACTCTATTGATATCTTAGCCTACAAAACGAAACTCAAAACGTAGGCGTCCCTTTTCCAACTCTGCCACTTCCTGTAGAATGGCTCCACTCCACCTCGACAATCCTGTGTTTCAGTGCCATGAAGTTTGACAATAACTGCATATATACCACTAGCTTGCAACCCATTACATATTTTATTTGTCAACCACAAATTTGTAATAGTTGGGTTGGTAGGGTTGGAGATACTTTTAATTAAAAATTCAACCCAACAGACAACTATTCTCCAGTACACCACAAAATATTATATTCTTAGTTAAATTTTTAAACAAATAAATTGAAGCTAAAAGTATCAAAATGTATAAATGGTGCAATTTGCTTTAAGTCTAATCAATGTAGTCAAAATCGCGCTTTAAAACTTAAAAACTTGCGATTTTACGTTTCTAGGTCACTAAAACGCTTCTACACAAAATTTAAGTTTTAATAACTTACGTAGTTAAAAACTGCGCTTTAAAACTTAAAAACTTATGATTTTACGCTTCTAGATCATCAAAACGTTTCTACGTCGAAACTCGCTTTTGACTACATTGAGTCTAATTTTCCCCACAACATTTGTCAAAAGAAACTAAAATGTTTATAAGTGAATGCATTCATAATATATTATCCTTCTAAAATTGTATATAATTTTTATATGAATTGTAGCCTATATTAAATATAGGTCTAAATTTTAAGTAGAAGAATGTATTAGGTTAGAAAAGTCACAAGAGAAAAATATGACAAAATATCTTTGTTTTCTTACAAATATCAAATATGTTTATTTACGACACAAATATGTTTTGGATACGAACATTGGATCATGTTGGATGGGTGGGTCACTTGACGGATTGTTTTGCTCACCTCTACGTATACTATTAATCTATTATGGTTTGTGTAGATACATTTTCATAAAAAATTAGAGTTCCTTTTCTTACTCTCATCACCCTTACAACAACAACAACAACAACAACAAAACTTTGTACTACGTGTACCATACTAGATGTTGGGTGACAAAAACTGCATACCACCAGCTTGTAACCCATCAAATATTTTATCCGTCAACCACAAAAATTGTTAATCATCCTCCATATCACAATACTAGTCAATCATGAACGTAAACCAACTTCAAAATGTGAACAGGAAAAGGGAATTATACGTTGCCTCCCCCACCCCAACTAGACAACTCTCGATTCTTTCCCTACAAATGAATCCTACTTGAATTTCTCATCAAGTCATCCAAATTCCAAACTCCCCCTTTTTCCACTTCCAAAACCTAACATATCTATCTACTAGTTTCACTCTCTTCAAAATTTTCCAACTAAGCAGCTCTCTCTCTCTCTCTCTCTCTCTCTCTCTCTCTCTCTCTAGAGAACACACATAGTTATGTCCCGCCACCCTGAAACCAACCCTCATTTCGTCAGGCCACTCCAACAGCCCCGCCGCGACCGTGGCGACGGCCGCCGTTCCACCCCACCGGCGGTCATAACTCCTCCAGTCAGTGGCCCAGCCACTCCTCCCCCGCCGCGCCACCATAACCAGGAAATTCCGGACCCTGGCAACCAACACTTCCCTCTCCACGTCGACGAGGAATTACTCCCGCCGCGCAATAAGCCATTGGGCCCGATCCGCCACCAGGAACGCGGACAGTTCCGCAGCCCATGGGCCATACCACCACATCACCCGCAGCCGGCCCACGGCCCAGCCCATGACGGCAACTACCAAAGCCCATGGATACTCCCGCCCTCATCATCCCACCCGACCGACGACCACGGCCCGCTCGTCACCGAACCCCACCGCCACGACTCCGAGCCGCCACCGCACCCGCGTCCACAACCGCCGCCGAAACATCCACGTCACCACCGCCAACACCGCGACGGCCGCAAGCATCCCCCTCCTCCACCGCCGCCGCACGACGGCCCCGATCCGGCCGTGGTCGGGCACCGGCGGGGAAGGGGCCCCGTGGTGCCGTCGCCGCGGAAGACGAAAATCACGACGTGGTGCGCCGCCGTGTGCTGCGCGATCTTCTGGATCGCCATCTTCCTCGTCGGATTGATCGTCCTCATCGTCTACCTCGTCTACCGGCCGCACAACCCGCGGTTCGAGGTCTCCGACGCGACGCTGAACGCCGCGTACCTCGACGCCGGATCCCTGCTCAACGCCGACGTGTCGGTGCTGGCGAATTTCACGAACCCTAATCGGAAGGTCGCCGTCGAATTCGGGAGCCTGATCGTCGATCTCTACTACGGGAGCACGCTGATCGCGACCCAGTTCATCCAGCCGTTCTCCGCCGACCGGGCCGGGTCGAGGTTCGTGAACCTGGAGCTGGTGACGAGCCAGGTCCGGATCCCATTGGAGGACAGCAAGAAGCTGGAGGAACAGATCAACAAGAATACGGTGACGTTCAACGTAAAAGGGGTGTTCCGTGTTCGATCCAAGCTGGGTTCGTTTCTGAGATACTCGTATAAGCTCTACGGTCACTGTACAATTGTCACGACGGGGCCTCCGAATGGGATATTACGTGGAAAACGGTGCATTACCAAGCGATAGAAATTTTACTACAACAAATTTTTGGAGTAATTTCATGTCTAATTGAATCATTAATGACATGACATGGAACAGAATCGATTAGCTTAATCCACAGAGGAGAAGTTGTGTAGCATCACGAAGTGATACAAAAATGTCCCGGCAACCTACGGTTTTAAAACGATGAATTGTTAACCATTGTATCTGTTATTTCGTCTAGTGTTGATGCTTACCAAAGTGCTCACACCTGTAAACAGCGATATATTTGTGTCAAACGATAAACCGGAACATGTTTATGGCAAAAACTGAATTCAAACTACACTGCAATCTAGCACAATTGGGGAGGGCTGTCCAGAAAACCCTTTGTTTTATCTTCCCCTAAATACAAAATAATATACAGATGCTTCACTTACAGTTACAGGGTTCAGAACACTTTGTATTCGTCAGCGACTGAACAGCTTGATTCTCCTCGAGATAAAGAGTACAGAGAAAAGCAATCCCCATAATATGGTACACTCTTCAACCCGAATTGATGACGTAAAAAGCCGTTCCTTCCTTCTTTAAGGGGGGGACACATTAAAGATTATTAGCATCCAATATCTTCTTCTTTTGATTCAAAGTCTCCTGTAAGGGTCCCTAGAGAAGAAAGGATGCCCGAGGGCCTCATGAGCCGTTAGCCTGGCCGAAGGGTCGTACCGAAGAAGACCCTGCAAGAGGTCGATTATGTCTCCCGCCGAGTGATCCACGTGTTGCATTACAAGGTTCTGCCAAAATCAATTGCATACATGGGCAACCACAAAATTAAGCAAAAGCTAAAACAAACACAGACCAAGTGAGAGCTATACCTGAAGACGAGGCAGCTTCATGACGGCTTTAATGCTATCACGAGAGGTTGCATTGTCGGGCCAATCCAACCTACCTCTTCTCACGTACTTGTCAGTGTGTCGACTGTGGATGAGCATGGAAATGGAGAAAGACAATCCAGAATAATAAGCAAGAGAATTGCTTGATTCCATGATGGAAGCAATAGAAATGGAAGGATAGAGAGAGAGAGAGAGAGAAGACAAACTCCGCTCTCTTCAGCATCTGCTGAGGTAACGGGCCTAATACTCTTTCCATCATAGCTAAGTGCTCCAAGTTATCGTGGGTCTGGAACAATGCTTCCCCCTGGAAGGAAAAAAAATTCATTGCTACATAATCCTAGGAACGTAGAATATGTTCAATGGCTAGAAAGTGCATAATTTAGGACTCAGTGAACTTACTGTGCAAAGTTCCACCAATATACAGCCGACACTCCATATGTCACATGAGTAACTCCATCCAAGGCCTCAAAATTGGAACAGGCTACTGAAATTAATCTCATTATTGAAACAAATGAAAGTAACTTCATTTAAGGGGGTAAAGAATTAGCATACCAAGGATAACCTCGGGCGCACGGTAATGTCTGGTAGAAACAATATAGTTGTGATGTTTATGACCATCAGCAGTGCTGCCAAAATCAATGACCTTAATGGCACTAGACTTTGGCAACCTCTTGTAACAGCCTGCCTCACTAAATGAATGTGCTGGAACCTAAACAGGCAACAAAACTAGATTGATTTAGGAAGGAGAAGCAGGGGAGAGCTTCTGTCATTATTCAATAGCATACCAAGGAAAGCACCTTGTAGTCTGGAATTTTCACATAATCTGGAGAAACAAAGAGTATATTCTCTGGCTTCAGATCGGTATGGATAAGACGCAAGTCATGCATAACTGCAGAGATTATGGGAGAGAGTCAATACTAGTATTAAGACAGTATCGAGCTTTGATGCTCATATTCCTCCGTCATTAATCATCAAAGAGTGGTAAAAAGAAGAAAGAAGAAGAGAGCAAGAGGAATTAGGAACTCCCCATCATAGGAACAGCTTTAATTTAAGTTTCCCTGAACAGCATAAAACATGCAGCCCAAGAAACTTGAAAAGCATAATAGATGGTGAAAGGGAAAACATTTACACACATGCTACACATTCCAAGAGTTGTCTGCCAAGCTCACGGACAAGGTCTACTGGGAATGGTCGATAACTATTTTTTCGAAGAAAATCGTATAAGCTTGGTCCAAGTATCTCAAAGACCTGTTAAACACACGTCATTTTAAAAACCCATCGTCTCAACCCCCTGAAATTGTACAGAAAAGGCTATTAATCAAACTTTGCCACATAAAAAATTGTATACTTACAATGCAGATATGGTTCCGGTAGTCAAACCAGTTTCTTATTTGTACACAACTGCAAAAAAGAAACTCATTTGACTCAATGCTGATGAATAATAAAAAGGAAAGATTATGCTCAAGCTGCTTTAACAGAGGTAAAACTCACCGGCTGCCATTTCTATCATACTTCCCTAGCAACTGGAGTGCATCAATTTCGGACATTGCTGCCTCCCTGTATTTTTTTATACTTCTCACAACTTTTACGGCAACCATCTCTCTCGTTTCCCTATCCCAGCATTCCAAAACCTGACCAAAGGTTCCTGGAGCAGAAAAAAGCTAGTATTTAAATATGCCAGCCAAGGAAGAAATACCCCACTATAAGATGGCAGGACATCCGAGGAGATCTAGCCTTCGCCAATTTTCCTATGGATCTTGTCTGCAAGTAGATAAACAGACGATCAGAAGGAGAAACCAAATGTATGGTCATAAAAGACTGTAAGACTGAGCCCAAGATATGAACTAAATTAAAAATCTTGGGAAAAGGGTGAATGCTGCAAATGAATCCAGAGAAAATTTGGTCTGCTTGGTCTAAAAGAGTTTCAAAAGCTCAATTTCAAACAAGAGTAGTATCATAAAGGCTGAGAAAAAGAAGGGTTGTGTAAATTGGGGTACCGATCTTAGGGTGCACAAAAACAAGTTAAAAAATAACATAATAGCCTGCTCAGTGGTGATCAAGTGAAATTACAGCGAGATGTTAAATTCTCTCCGAGAGCAAACATGTAATGTCCATCTTTGTCATCGTCTCGCCATGGGGGAGAGCCCTTTTGAGCCAATCCTTTTAGATATAAACCGGAATGGTCTGCGAGTAGTACTCTTGAAGGTCCCATGCTTGTCCCATTTCCAACATCTTGTCCAAAATACAATCCTGGCTGAGCCTACACACAGCCATTCGTTCATTTTCCGCTAAACACACAGTAACTAATAAAAGGTCACTGTTTTACAACAGTTCACCGATATCAAGAAGGCTTCCAATTGCTATCTAACCAAACAACAACCTCAAAGCTTTTTAGACAACACTAGCTAGTTGTCAGCAAACTATACATGTCTGGCCAGAAGGACCATAAATCATAATAGCCAGAAGTATCTTCCATACATAAACCAGAGTTATAAAGACGGATCCATTTTCTCTTTTAGACATTCAGCATTAGAAAGCAATGCTACAAATTTCAGGCAGTGGAAGCCTTCTTCTCAAAACTGCCTAGAACCATTAGTAATTTTAGCAGTCAAAACTTCCAGGAGCACCCCCAATCCCTTCTCTCTCCAAATACTTCCATTTCACAGGAAAGCAACAAATCAGCTTTTCACTCGATAAAATTCAGCTGGAATCTCATTTAAACAGGAGCATCACATTGAGCCAACTTTTACGTATAACAAGGGAAGGAAACCCCCTGAAGCTTCAATCAATAGATCAAATCAGCAATTGCCGATACTGAGAATCGAGGACCAAATGAAGAAAGATAACAGAACTAAAAAGGGAAGCTGTTACCTTGGTGTGAGTTTGAGGCGGGAAATCCCAAGCGAACCTAGGTCTCTTTCTGGGACGTCGATCCATGTGATTATGAAGGAACTCGGCGACGTAGTCCGTCTCCATCAGAGGGTGAACAAGACCCCTAACCCTAAATTCATCAGTAGTATCCAAGATCGATCCAATTCAATTTGGGGATCAGATTCAGAAGAGCGTATTTTGCCCTAACTATTAGACAGTTTTTGTTCTTCTGGAATTTTCTGTTTTCCCCCTTTTCCTCATTTTCTGATAAGTTGATCTGCACCGTTAGATTAGGCTCTGCCCGGAGTTCGGTTTGAACCTACTCGATATTTAACCCCGGTTGAGTTAAAGCTATTTTTTCCAAGGTTGTCAACGCTGTTTGTAAAATACGAACAATGAAAACACGGACACAACGATTTACGTGGTATCCTCGTTCATATGAACGGGACTAATCCACGGAAGACCCTCTTAAGGAGTCTTCGGCTATAGTATCCTTAGGGGTTTCTCTTGACTATTGTACAGAGGAAACACGGCAGCAGCAGGACATATATGTCCACCAAACCCAAAAACACAAGTTAGGGATTGGCAAATTATACAAAGACACCTGAAGAAATAGAAGCCGACAACTAAGCCTACTCCAAACCGTACGTACTCAACACACTACACGTACAGTTCACAACACGCCCCCTCAAGCGATGGCGTGAATGTAGACTTGGCAATCGGGTCGGGTTGGGTAATTTCGGGTTGGGAATATTGGGTTACGGTCTTTACGGGTCGGGTCTGGGTTTGTTGGTTTCGGGTCTAATATTGATCCAACCCATTGAGTTTCGGGTTGGGTTTCGAGTCATTTCGGATTATGAGCATTCTCAGATACAATATCAAACATGCTTCATAAATTTTTAAAGAACACAAATTTTTACATATGTGTGACAATAGTTTGCCTAGCACATGTCAATTAACAAATGCTCAAGTCCTTCCATGCTAATGAAAAGAAATACAAGTTGCACAAATCGTCAAAAAACAATAACGAAAGTAATACTACTATAATAAAAAAAAATGATGCTTGATTATCTTTACACTCCAAACTTGTCTTTCAAATCCCTAGGATTTTTTTTAAACATCTCACCAAAGTACGAGTGATTTTATCATTTTGAGAGTGGCATATGCAATGAAACGGGTCTAGCGGGTCAACCCACAAACCAACCCAACCCGACCCAAAAACTACGGGTTAATCGAGTTCGGGTCATTCAGGTTTCGGGTTATAAAAACCTCTACTCATTCTCTATTTTTCGGGCGGGTTCGGGTAGGGTCAACGGGTTGGGTCCTCATTTGCCAGGTCTACGTGAATGTCATGAAGGCCAAGCTTGGAAGTTAGAAATGAGAACTGCTCGGCACCTAACCCATTTGTAAACACGTCGGCTAACTGGTCATGAGAGGAGATCTTTCGGGGGGAGCTATTTCACCAGAGGTAACGCGCTCCCTAACAAAATAACAGTCCATCCCCACGTGCTTCGTCCGTTCGTGAAAAACGAGGTGTGCAGCGATATGCAAAGCTGCCTGATTGTCCGATATGCCCAAGATTCCATAGAGGCAGCAAAACTGCGATAATTGCTCGTACTTCACAACCGCAGTGAAATAGCCCTTTTTCCGGTCTTCATGAGTTATTGGAACTTTCATAGGCAAATGCTAGCGTCCATCGAGCTTAACCCTTGCTTGGATAAAAAGCTCCCTTGAATCAGCATCTTTATGAACCACAACTGGTTCCAAATTGTCGAGCGCCTCTCCCAGCATGGTCCCCAACTTATGAGTGCATTATTCTGGTGGCACCCTCTCATAATTGCAGAAAGGGAACCTTGCACATGCCTTTTGCAATGGGCTCAGTAACTACCACCCAAGGCACGAGGTGGACCAGGAACTAGGGTGAGCTCTAGGGAGATTTTTTCAACACACGATCTCGGTCATCCCCAGACATAATTACGAATTGGAACATCCCCAATTCAACCGGAAGCACCAAAATTCCCCCAGGCATTTTCATATTCGTCTCGGGGTCTGTTGAAGACTATGAATTGATCGACGAGGACCAAAGATCTTCTCCAGCAAAGAGTGTTCACTACAATCAGCCCTAACAAGGACAACCATCACCAAAAGCAAAGAGTTTTGCAAAAACCATAAAAAATTAGGGATTTGGGCCGAAACACTCAACCAAAAGTTGGGGAAATTAGAAAGGATTCGAGAATGCGACAAAATTTGAAGGTCTCCATGAGGGAGGAAAGATCGTTCTAGTAGCACACAATGGCGAGAAGTCACTAACAGCGCGTCGCACGAAGCAAAAGTGTAGTTCCCACTCGGCGCACTAGAGAGAACGAGGGGAGGTTTTCATGTTCATGAATGACCCCATAATAAATTTATGGACATCGAAAAATTTGCTTTAAAATATGATGATAAAGTATGACAATATTAAAGTAAAAAGTATGAATTAATATACATAGCATAAATCAATAGAAAAAGGGTGAGAGTATTAGATTTGAGAGTTGTTTGATTGTAGTAACAAAGATAATTTGAGAATGAAAATTTGGATATTTAAAAGAAATGGTTAATATTTCTATATGGTCTGAACTTTGACCAAAATAAACATCCTGGACAATCTTTTCGATCTATAACATTCTGGCCCGAACTATGCATCAAAATAAACAATTTGGCCAGATCCGACTTTTGACCGTTAACTTGAACGGTCAAACGCGTTGACTAACGGTCAACGCGCCATGTCACTTTCAACTCAGCAAATTTCAATTAATTTTTTTTTAATTTACACCTTTTTCCATTTTCTTTCTTCATCTCTGTCTTCCTCGTCCCATTCTTCATCTCCCCCCTCCTTAATCCCTCTGCCGCTGCCACCCATGCCACCATCACCCTTCCTCGCCATACAACCCAAATTCCACCACCACCATTTTGTCCACTCGCCAGCTCAGATCGATAATGATAACCTTAGCCACACATTTCCTCACCCAACCCAAATCCAGTTTTTGTCCCCCTTTCGAAACCTACTCTGCTTAATCGCCTTCTTTATAATCCCCTGTTTCCCCCCACCCATTCTTGGCAACTCAAATCTCTTTAAAACCCATCCACAATGGGCTGCGCCTCCTCCAAACGAATTTAGGCCACCGTCGACATCTACCACCCCCCCTCCATCCAGCTTCTCCGTCTTCGATATAACCTCCGTCCAGGAGCCCTGACTCTCCTCCGCCAACGATCAGCAGCTCGAATTCGAGAAACACGCCGGCAACAACTTGAATGCCCCCAACCCTCTGCTCGATAAGCTTCAGAAATTCGAATCCCCCGACGTCGCTCCTCGTTCTTGGGACGAGGTTAGCAAGGCCCTCGAAGACGACCTCAATTGAAAATTTGTTTTATTTTTTATTTTTTCTTTCAAAATGATAAAGAAAAGAAAATGGAAATAGGTGTAAATTAAAAAAAAATAATTGAAATTTGCTGAGTTCGCAGTGACATGGCCCGTGACCGTTGGTCAACGCGTTTGACCGTCCAAGTTAACGGTCAAAAGTCGGATCTGGCCAAATTGTTTATTTTGATGTATAGTTCGGGCCAGGATGTTATAGATCGAAAAGATTGGCCAGGATGTTTATTTTGGTCAAAGTTCAGGCCACACAGAAATATTAACCCTAAAAGAAAAGGTATTAAAGTTAGTAGGAATGGTTAGAGTTGGTCTAACGAACACGGTATAATAATCTAATTTTTTTTCTGAATATACTAGATATTAATTAAGACGAGAAGTTAACACACTCGGTTGCTTAATAGTGGAAAAAAGTGTAATCAGAATGAGTTCAAGTTTCACTAAAAATATTTTACGGGTCGTTTGCTTCATGAATTTGAAAAATGAAGATTTTGGTAAAATTTGGGTTTTGGAAAATTATGGATATATGATGAATTTAGTGGCATTATGGATTTGAACAAGTCTATTGTTTGCTTGTTGGATTTGATTATGGATTTTGTTTGAATAGATTTGTGGATATGAAATTCAAAGTACCTTGTTACCCTTATCTAATTATATTTCTATATTATAATCCAAAAATTTCATTAAAAAAAATCCATCGCATACAATGAAATTTTAAATGCTTTACCACTATGTGGACTAATAATTCAACTACAAATATAGAAATGTATTACAGTTTGACACTAATTAACAACTCATCTACTAATGTACGCAATATTATGTATCAATTGCAACCAATTGCTTGCTTTATTGCTACAACTCATCATCTTCTTGCTAACAAATCACATATACAGTCATATTTAAATAGACGATGGGTTTAATAGGGAGAAAAACCAATATGGTGGGATCCTTAATCAATCATATAGCCACCACCAAACATGCCCTCTTCTTTACTTAATCCGAAGAAATGACCTACTAAGACAATGACTCCATGTCCTTCATTTCCAAGGAATTCATTGGAACCCATCTAGAATTTCTACTCTATTGTTATTATTATCATCTATTCTACCCCCCTTGATTCTCGCTTCAATCGTCCCAGAAGAAAGCTTAAAAATTAAAAAGCTAGGAACTTTACTGGCGAGAAGAGTTGACCCGGAAACCCTCTTTCCGTTCCTCTCTCCCCTCCCCCCCTGAAAAAAACTCCGGCCAGTTAGTTTTCCTTACATGTGAAGCTTTTTTTTTTTTTTTTGGCATAGATATGGACCGTTATAGATATTACAAGACACTAGACAGCCAAACGCGACAGTCGACAAGTAGACGAACTGTCGATGAAAGGGCATTAGTAGCCACAAGATGGGCAGCCCTGTTGTACAACCGAGGAGTAAAATTACAATCAAAGAAACTAAATAGCACACCCGCCGTGCAAATCTCCTCCAAGATGGCTCCTCCCGATCCATGGTTCACATCCCTCATCCGAATCCTGCGAATCAATGGCTGACAATCGCCACAGAAATTGACTGAACTAAAACCATGCAACACACACCAGTTAACCGCATCACGAAGAGCTAATAATTCCGAAATAAAAGGCTCCGACACACCTGGGTAATACCGCCCGAATGCAAACAGCACTTGACCATTGCCGGAATATCCGACAAACCCGATGCCACCCCCTGCATCCTTCTTCCAAGCTCCATCAAACCGCACCAGAACGCCACCATCTGGACATATCCCGCCTGGAGGCTGCGCTTGTACTGCTTGCTCAGCGCCCCGCCGCATCGTAGGATCCCCAGAACCAGCCCGCCGAAGCGTCATTGGCGCCGTCGCATGCTGCCATTCCTCCACCTGAAAACGGAATTGACGAAACAAAGCATGGCCCATGTATTGAATGTGCTTATGGATTGCCCAGCAACGGGATTTCCATACACGCCAGCAAAGAAAGACAACGTCAGCAATCTCAGACTTTGAAAGGTGACAAGAGAAGAACAAGGTTTGCCAGCAGTCCGAAGGAGCCAAGCCTTCCAGTCGTCTTCTCAACGTTCCAAGTCCAGCAAGCCCCCAAAGTTCTACAGCAACTCTGCAATGAAGAAAAGAATGACTAATAGTTTCCGGCCCGTGAGAACAGATCGGACAGGTATCATCCTCTACCAGCCGCTTCACTTTCAAAACCGCTCGAACAGGTAGGAAACCGCGGACCACCCGCCACCAGTAAAACTTCAATTTAGGGGGCAGCGGTAAACTCCACAATAATTTCCAGAACCTGCCATCATACGGCGACGTAGCAGGAGGGTTAGCTGCTAACAACTCATCAGTAAGAACGTGGTACCCGGTTTTGACCGTGTACTCCCCAGTGGAAGAGTAATGCCATATGAGCTTATCCTGAGAGACCTGCATAGGAAGCGGGATAGAGAGGATTAATGCCACCGACTCAGGCATAAATAGGCTTGTCAGTAGGTCCACATTCCATGACCGCGACAGCGGGCAAATCAGGTCAGAGACAAAAACCGGACAAGAAGCAATATGCGGTTGTAACATAGGGATGGAAGGAGGGTTCGAAGGAAGCCACTTATCTGCTAAAACCTGGACAGTAGTCCCATTTCCAATCCGCCACCGGAGCCCTCGGATCAAAAGGTCCCGCCCGGCTAATATGCCCTGCCAAGCCCAGGATGGTCGCGGGCCCGGCGTCGCCTCCAAGAAAGAAGTATGTGGATGGTACCGCGCCCGGTACAGCGATGCTAGCGTAGAATCCGGACTCAACAGTACCCGCCAAGCCTGTTTAGCTAGGAGAGCAATGTTGAACCGTTCAAAATCCCGGAACCCAAGTCCACCTGCAAATTTGCTAAGACACACCTCCTGCCATGAGAGCCAATGTATGCCATCCTCTTTATCCTGATTAGCCCACCAAAACCGAGATAATTGACCATTCAACCTGCGACATGTGAAAGAAGGCAAACGAAAAGCAGACATAGTATAGATCGCAGAAGCCGAACCAATAGACTTAATCACCGTTTCTTTCGCAGCCAATGACATTGCTTTCGACTTCCACGACCTGATCCTAGTGGCCAGCCCTTCCTCAACAAACCGGAAGGTCTGGGTCTTAGATCTTTGGATATGAATGGGCAGCCCTAGATACTTATCCGCCAAATTTGAATCCGCCACTCCCAGAAAGGAACTTAACACCCCACGCTCCTGGTCAGATACATTAGAACTCACACACATCGAGGATTTGGCCAGATTAACTTTTTGACCACTAACCCTCTCTAATTCATCAAACAGAGCAAGCAAATTGGCACATTCTGGTAGAGAAGCTCTCAAAAACAAGTAGGTATCATCGGCAAACAATAAATGAGAAGTCAAAGGAGCAAACCGATGAACACGCAAACCATGTAAATTCGCCGCCATAATTTCAGAAGATAATTTCGCCGAAAAGGCTTCTGAGAAGATAGCATAAAGAAGGGGCGAGAGAGGGTCACCTTGACGCAGCCCGCGGTGGGGCTTGAAGAATCCGTGTGGATGACCATTGATAAGAACCGAAAAGGAGACCGTTGAAATGCAGGCTGTGACCCAGCGGCGCCACTCATAGCAGAACCCCAACCTTTCCAAAATCAGCAGCAAAAAGGACCACTCGACCCGGTCATACGCCTTCTCCATGTCAAGTTTAAGCGCCATCCACTTATCACGTCCCTGCACTTTTGTTTTCAGAAATTGCATAACTTCTTGGCCTATCAGTATATTGTCAGTGATCAGTCTACCACGCACAAAACCATTCTGAGTAGAGCTCACAACTTCAGGCAATATCAAACTGAGCCTAGCAGCCATAAGTTTAGCAATAATCTTGTAAAAAACCTGACATAACCCGATGGGCCGAATTTGCCGCATTGACTCCGCATTTGGTACCTTGGGCAGCAAGGAAATCAACGTGTGATTGAAATTATGCAGAAGTCGCCCAGTCCGAAAGAAACTCAGCACTGCATCCGTGATTAGGGCGCCCACCACCTCCCAATGGACCTGGAAAAAAGCAGCTGTGAACCCGTCGGACCCAGGGGCCTGGTGACTACCAATCCGGAATACAGCCTCCTTTACTTCAAGGGGCGAAACCGGCGCGATCAAAGCATTGTTCATCTCATTAGTCACCCTGCAAGGAATACCCAAAGAATCCACATACGAGGAGGCATCCACATTGTTAGAAGAAAAAATAGATTGATAGAATGGGATAGCTACACCTGCCATGGCCTCCTCTTCACATTGCATAATGCCCGCTTCATCTCTTAACCCCCGTAGCCTATTAAATCGCCGTCTTTGTAGAACCGTGCGGTGAAAGAGGTTGGTATTGGCATCCCCTTCCCGAAGCCAGCCCACTCGAGACTTTTGACGCCAAAATCCTTCCTCTTCTACATAGGCTGCCGATAGGTCTCGCTCAAGCAAGCGAATAGCATCCCAATCCACCTGGGCTGTTTCGCGAATTTCCTCAATGGCCGTCCGAAGTTCCCTAATGCGACGGGCTGAATTAGATGTACCCAACCTTGCCCATTCCACCAAGTCATGTCGGGCTGTTTTAAGCTGGTTAAAGGCACGGAATTGAGCCGTCCCACGCATCGGTTTGGACCAGGAAGTTTGAATAATCCCCAACGCCTCCTCATTTGAATTCCACGTCCCATCATATTGGAACCGCGTATGACGATGCTGCCGTTGTTTGGTGAGCTGCACAAGAAGCATCCGGTGATCAGAGCCTAAATCCGTAAGGTGTATTACCTTCAAATCAGCCCATTCTGCCATCGCCGATGAACTTCCGAGACATCTATCCAAGCGCTCCAAGATATGATCCCCACCTGCTCTCCGGTTTGACCATGTAAATGGCGACCCTTGATATCCTAAGTCAAAAAAACCAGTAGACATAAGAAATGCATTAAGTTGATCAAGAGCAGCAAAAGAAGGCGCATTCCCCCCCAACTTCTCAGAAGCAGAAAGAAGACAATTAAAGTCCCCAACCACAAAAGCAGGAAAGGAAAAGGACGAGACCAAATCCGCAATTTCATTAAACTGATCCTGACGATCCGCGGCCACACATGACATATGTACAAAGACTATACCAAAGGACTCAACATTGGGAACCCGACACTCCACGAAACAATAAAAAGAGGACAGCTGATGCACTATACAAGAAATATGATCTACCCACCCTACAGCTAACCCACCACTACCATTAGATGCGCTAAAACAGCGGGCTGATCTGAACCCCATACTAGCAAGCTTAGACTTGACAAAGTCATCTTCCCTTTTGGTTTCACTGAGGAAGAGGAGGTGAGGAGCGAAACGAGCAACGGCTCCACCGAGAGAGGGAACTGTCAGAGGGGAGCCCATCCCCCGACAATTCCACACCATGAAACTCATGGGTCGGGGTGGGCCCAGATGAGGCTGGATGCCACCACCTTACCATCGGTAACGGGTATCGCCGCCGAGTCCCCACGATCAGCCCGCGCTCGCTTAGCTTCCGGGGACGCAGAGAAGGCAGCATCCCCCTCCTTCATGAGGGTATCTTCTTCGACAGGATCAATTGCTGCAACATTAGCCACCGAAGGCCGCGGAATAATGGATAGCGACTGGCAATTGGCTCCCCTAAGGCTCGCTGAGGGACGACGGGTGTCCCGCCAAACACCATCATCATCTCCTATCTGGGACGCCAGCAACAGGGGACGAGGCGGACGGGGGGAGGGCTCCCTGAAATTTCCCCCACTTTGAGCAACAGTAGCGCGATGCTTGGCCGCCCTAATCCAGGTAAACCTCCTCTTCCTCTTGGTTAACATGTCCTCCGTGACCGGCGGGCCCGATTCCGTTGCTACCGAGAACACCCCATACCTCGGTGTGACACCAGCGAAGTCCTCCTTCCGAGGGCAATTTTCCCCTATATGACCAATCACACCACAAAGGAAGCAGAAGTGAGGGACCTTTTCGAACTTAACGGAAGCCACGAAGTTACCTCGGTTCTGATCAACATGCCCAGCAGTAATCTCGTCCGGCAGTGGGGCAGCAAGGTCAAGGACAGGAGACGCCCTTATGTACAGGCCCCCCGACATATCCGAACGGTGAAGAGTGGCCGGTTCCTTGAGTGCCCCTAGCGACGAGCCCAACCGCCATGCCATTTTCTCGGTGAAGCAGTCAAACGGAACCTTCCAGATCTGCACCGCCAATGGAGCCCAGCGGAGACTATCAGCGACCTCAGGCGAGGGATTTGCCCATCGCGCCACCGCCAGCAAGAAGTTATCAAATACCCATGGAGATTTGGTAACCACCTTCTGTAGATCCGCTTGCCGGGAAAACACAAATTGGGTTAAGCCCTCCTCCACCTCAGAAATGGAGAGATCGCCCTTGGGTCGCCAAACTCGCCCCAGCATCATTCGCAGAGCATACAGCGGCGGCGGAGCCCCAATAAGCCGGCCGATGAGGGACAACTCCCCCCGAGCAAGACCCGCCGCCAGATCGTCATCATTGAATTGAACCACCGCCATTTTCGACCTAACTCGCACAATAAAGAATTGAATCAAGAGGAGAAGAGATGACCCAGAGTGATTCCTCCCTTCCCCCAACCCACGGGGATTTAAAGGCATCTTGCTCCGAGGAGCACGGCCCCGTCGCCGCACGACGGCGGGAAGCCCGAAGGGCACTGGCGCACGAAGGCGGTTGCCGATCGCTTCTCCCCTCCCCCCCTGAAAAAAACTCCGGCCAGTTAGTTTTCCTTACATGTGAAGCTTACCTGCAGGGAAATTTACATTCCAATCTGTTTACACCTAAAATATTTTTGGCCTAAATTCAATGCCGTAATAATGAGTCTCGGCATTTAATTCGATATCGCATGGCCAAAACGATGTCGTTTGGAGTTGAGCAATACCGCGGTGAATTTAAGCGAGACCGTGAAGAGGCTCGGCGGTACCGCGGTACTTGAAACGACATTGGTTGCAGACCATGTGTGAGTCATGCGCAGGACATGTGTTGTTGTTGGACAAGGAATGTTTTTTATTTTATTTTTCCTTGTCGGAGGAGGAGAGTAACAGCACCGTTTGGAGTCAAACAATACTGCGAAGAGATAAAACGGTGCCGCGAACCTCACAGCTCAACGGCATCGCGAGGCTGGGAAACAGTGTCGTCTGGCTAAAAAACGGCACCGCGACAAGCGGCATCGCGAATGAGTTAAAATGGTACCGCAAGGAAGCTTAGCGGTACCGCGGCACTGGAAACGAAACCGTTTACTGAAAATAAAAGGGGCCGCGCGTTTTAGTGTAGGTGCCGGGGAAGGATTTTTTTTGTATATAATTAATTATTATTTTTATTCCTTGTTGGAAGGGGAAAATCGGAACCGCGAATTTAAAAACGATGTCGCGGGATGCCTTGATAAGCGGTGCCGATTAAATAAAAAAAATCATATCGGGTAAGTGAAGGGCCTCAATTCCGCGGTTCAATGAATTGGAATTTTTTGGATATGTTAGCGGTGTCGTTTAATTAAAAACGGTACCGCGAGTAAGCCCAACGGTACCGTTGTATCAGGAAACGACAGTGTTTAAATATTTAAACAATGTCGCGGAAAAAAAGCAAACGGAGCTGTTTGGGAAAGGAAACGACATCGCGGGATTATGAAAACAACTCACGTAAAGTTCACGCGAAGCAGTTTGAGGAACGAAGCGGTTGAGACACGTGGGAGTTCACGATTGAGCGGTTGAGGAAGCAGTTCTACGGGGCGTGAAGACTACGCAAGTGATTTCAGATAAAATCACTGGAGCAAGGAGAGAGAGAGGGGAACCAAAAATCAACACAGATCAACTCTGTTCAAACTTTACCTTTTCTCTGTAACTCCTTAGCGGAGCTCTCCTTCCAGGAAGGATCTCCATAGTTGTAGTCTTAGTCGTAGTCGCGGAGCTCTCCACAGGAATCTCCATAGGAGTAGTCGTAACGTAGATTCCTCAAAAACTCAAACACCCTCGTTCGAACGTAGTTTGGAGAGGTGTGAACCTTAGTCACAGTCGTCTTGATTAGAAGTCAGTGGCGCATCAATTCGATCAAATCAACATCGTCGTTTGGCACGCCGGCGGTGGTATTTGGTCAGAAGATAGTGGTGCATCCGTTCAATCGGCACCGCAAGAGTTTCCACCGTGAAATATTAAATCAACATCGCCGGAAACGAATTCGGCACCGGCGGTGGCATTTGGTTTTCTCGGGGAAACATTTTGGCACGCCCGGTGGGACACGTGTGTTTGACATGGCTCTGCGACGAGGAAAAGAAGATTGTGGTCTTCGACAAGGATCCATGGCGGAGGCTCAAATGATCAACATCGAGATTAACGATGTTCTTGGCGGCTCAAGCAACAATGCTGGAGCGGAGGTGCAATCAGTGGCACGAGTCTCCGATCAGGGTGAGATGCTGCGCATACTCCGCCAAGTAATGGCTGAACTCAGCAGAGATAGACAACAGGTAAATCTAACTTTAACTTCTCTTGATAAAAAAATGGATAATCTTGAAAAAAACATAGATCAATGGTTTGATAAGTTGGACGACTCTGTTTCTGATTTTAATATGTCAATACGTGGAGCCACGTATGATTTTGATGTGTTTAAATCTCGAACCATGTCTGTTGTGTGTGAGGATGCGAGAGTTGGTCGAATAGCTAATGTCAACCAAACTCCATCATCGATGGCTACAACATTGTTGCCAGAAGTGAGTGAATCCAATGTGTTCTTTCCTGTGAACAACGTTGTTCTAAAGGACACACCAATTGGAAGTGGCTTGCAGAAGCCACTACAAAGAAGTCAGTATCGACTTACTTCTAATAAGATTGAAAACAAGAATCAGGGTCGAGAACCTGGTTACAATCACGTCGAGCATAGCAAGCTCACGTATGATGGGTTGCCCAAGCAACATCGCAATGGTGTTCAATCTAAGCCGATAGGGGGGCATGACATCCCAACTCGTGGTAGATTGAAGAAGAAACAACATCGTGGGTGGCAAAGAAGTTTGCCACACCCACCCTGCTCTAGGAAAAATCAGACAATGGTTTCCTCAAATACTCTTCGATGTGGGGATGGTAACCACGTAGAAAAATCTAATGCCAACAAAGTTGGCATGACTCAACAGGATCGTTCACATAAATCATTCCCGAAGTTGTCATTGAGTGGACTGGGGGGCAAGTTCGGTCAAGCACGACAGGGAGTTGCAACACCAGTGCTTATGAGGAACAAGTCGGCCATGAGTGGCGGATTGGGGGGCAAGTACCATGACCAACAAACTCCAGTTTCACGCAAGAGTTCAAAAGATGCAAAGTTGTTGTGTGATAAGTGCAAAGATCATGGTCGTGGTAAACAAAATACCAACACACGTGTTGATGGAGCTCGTAAGTCTCGACGCTCAAACTCCCAACAACATTGTGAGAGTGTAAAACTGACAAAACCAGACCAGTCTGAGCAGGCAATGCGGCATGGTCGACTTGGCAAGACGAAGATGCCAAAATATGTGAATGTCTTGTCGAGAGCAAAGAACACTAGTGATTTTTCATGCCATCGACCAAAAGTGATGGCAGAGGTGAAGCCAAATCGAGATCGCGGGATCCCAAACAAAGATGTTCGAGCTAGACGAGCTAGAAAGTTTCAATCCGGTGTTGACTTCAAAACGTCTAAGCCAACATGTGTAGAACCAACTGGGACGAGTCAGAGTATCCACGGATGGCTTGTATGGTTTGATCCGTTGAGTTGGCAATGGGTGTGGACCTTTGGCATGATGATTTATGCCAAAGTCAACTATGTTTCTACTTAGCTCGTATTAATGTAAATACAAGGTGGCTAATTTAAGCCACATGATATATTTAAAATAAAATAAAAATCATGAAAATGCCTGGTTAGCCGCGTAGAACGACGGCTGCTACTTGCAACATTGCGGGCAAAGAAAAAGAGCAAATAGCCCTGAAGTGCTTGCTGCAGCGTCGACGGCAAGTAAAAAAAAAAAATAAAACAAAAAAATAGACGCCACCGTTTGTGATGAAGCAACGCTGCAAGGAAGGATGACGTGGTTATTGGGGAAAAAGAAAAAAATAATAAACAAAATACTGCCAAAACAGCAGCGTTGATGGAGAAAGAAGAAGGAAATCAAAGCTGTTTGGGACAAAAACGGTGTTGCGAGGCCACACAATTTGTCAGTATCTAGGGATGGAGCAACGTTGTTGGGTGAGTTAGTTCTTTGGTTGCAGTATTGTGAAAGGAAAAGGAGTCCAAGCGGGCATTGGTATCCCTGCCGCAGTGTTGGAGGAAAAGAAGAAAATCAGAGTTGTTTGAAAAGAAAAAGTATTCTCGTTAAGAAAGCAGCGTTGCGGGAGTTTTGAGACATAGTGAAATAGGATTCCTAGCACAATTTTGATTGGCCAGCTTATTTATAATACAAAAAAAAATAAAAATGAGAAGAGATTCGGCAGCAGCAGCTTGGACAAGTAAGGATGCAACGCTGAAAGGAGTCTTTTGGGCCAGAGCAGCGTTGTTGAAAAAAAAAATTGCAATGTTGCACTGGCCGTAGCCATGATGCAAGGGTAACTGTTTTAGAAACCAAATTGTATTTGGGGACCTTGATCAAGTTTTGGCCGCATGATTGCATGGCAACTTGGTAGCTACATGGTTTTGTGATTTTTTAATTGGAGTTGCCACTTAATGGAATTTTAGGTTCGGGTGATTTAAGTTGTGTCAACAACTTGGTTCATAAATTCTTATAAACCAAGTTGTGGGGGGCATTGTTTACACCTAAAATATTTTTGGCCTAAATTCAATGCCGTAATAATGAGTCTCGGCATTTAATTCGATATCGCATGGCCAAAACGATGTCGTTTGGAGTTGAGCAATACCGCGGTGAATTTAAGCGAGACCGTGAAGAGGCTCGGCGGTACCGCGGTACTTGAAACGACATTGGTTGCAGACCATGTGTGAGTCATGCGCAGGACATGTGTTGTTGTTGGACAAGGAATGTTTTTTATTTTATTTTTCCTTGTCGGAGGAGGAGAGTAACAGCACCGTTTGGAGTCAAACAATACTGCGAAGAGATAAAACGGTGCCGCGAACCTCACAGCTCAACGGCATCGCGAGGCTGGGAAACAGTGTCGTCTGGCTAAAAAACGGCACCGCGGCAAGCGGCATCGCGAATGAGTTAAAATGGTACCGCAAGGAAGCTTAGCGGTACCGCGGCACTGGAAACGAAACCGTTTACTGAAAATAAAAGGGGCCGCGCGTTTTAGTGTAGGTGCCGGGGAAGGATTTTTTTTGTATATAATTAATTATTATTTTTATTCCTTGTTGGAAGGGGAAAATCGGAACCGCGAATTTAAAAACGATGTCGCGGGATGCCTTGATAAGCGGTGCCGATTAAATAAAAAAAATCATATCGGGTAAGTGAAGGGCCTCAATTCCGCGGTTCAATGAATTGGAATTTTTTGGCTATGTTAGCGGTGTCGTTTAATTAAAAACGGTACCGCGAGTAAGCCCAACGGTACCGTTGTATCAGGAAACGACAGTGTTTAAATATTTAAACAATGTCGCGGAAAAAAAGCAAACGGAGCTGTTTGGGAAAGGAAACGACATCGCGGGATTATGAAAACAACTCACGTAAAGTTCACGCGAAGCAGTTTGAGGAACGAAGCGGTTGAGACACGTGGGAGTTCACGATGGAGCGGTTGAGGAAGCAGTTCTACGGGGCGTGAAGACTACGCAAGTGATTTCAGATAAAATCACTGGAGCAAGGAGAGAGAGAGGGGAACCAAAAATCAACACAGATCAACTCTGTTCAAACTTTACCTTTTCTCTGTAACTCCTTAGCGGAGCTCTCCTTCCAGGAAGGATCTCCATAGTTGTAGTCTTAGTCGTAGTCGCGGAGCTCTCCACAGGAATCTCCATAGGAGTAGTCGTAACGTAGATTCCTCAAAAACTCAAACACCCTCGTTCGAACGTAGTTTGGAGAGGTGTGAACCTTAGTCACAGTCGTCTTGATTAGAAGTCAGTGGCGCATCAATTCGATCAAATCAACATCGTCGTTTGGCACGCCGGCGGTGGTATTTGGTCAGAAGATAGTGGTGCATCCGTTCAATCGGCACCGCAAGAGTTTCCACCGTGAAATATTAAATCAACATCGCCGGAAACGAATTCGGCACCGGCGGTGGCATTTGGTTTTCTCGGGGAAACACAATCCTCCTCAACTTCCATCACTGTCGTAATTTAACTATTTCCCATCTCAGGTTTGCCTTTACCGTGTTGGTTTTCGATTCCTCTGTTTCTTTCTGCAGCTCGTTTTAGTTACTTGCCAGTCAGTCCTTTCCTTTTAGTCGTCGTCACCAAAATAGAAAACCCACCACTGGTGAAATTAAAAAGCAATTCTAGATAAGTTTTCGGCGAGAGACAGGTAGCAATTGTTGTTGGGTCGATGGTCGGTTCTCTTTGAATCGGTCGGGGTTTTCCTTTTGTCCTCACTCCGCCGCCGTTTTGTGAATTTCCTGCTCTGTTTCCCTCCTTCGTAAGTCAACTAGGTGAAACTTCTATTCAATTTACAATCCTTCCCCAAGTAGGAGACTTCTGGCCCATCGGACCTATATATACACCGAGAACTACCAAAACCCAGATTCCAATTTCTTCTGGCTGGGTTTTTTCAAGGTTGTTTTTTCCTCGGGAAACAAACAGAGTACATTACTTGTTAAAGTTCGCGTCTTTTCTCAATTCTTAATGGGAGGGAGAAGTTCGAAGGAGTCGGATGGTGGCAGTCGGAGGGAGTTTGTGTCTTACGATTCCTTCAACTACCGTCACCAGCCGCCGGCGTCGCCGTATCCCGAGTCGCAGCCGTACTACACGCCTCAGCATCCTCACGCGCCGCCGCCGTCGTCGTCCGCGTACGGTTATGAACCGGAAAGGCCTCCTCAGCCGCAGAAGAAGTTGGATAGAAGGTACTCCAAGATTGCGGACAATTACCAGACTTTAGATCAGGTTAGTTCTCATCCATGATCAAGCCAATCCTTTTCTTTTGATAGTGAAACTTTTGTATCTTTTGATTTATTGGGATTTGGGAGGATTGAATTGCCATGGGTCCAGTCGATTATTTGGACAGTGGAATTTTTTTCTTTTACGAGTGGTGAACATGGGGAGGATTAGGAATATGCTCTGATTGTATCTGGTGAATCTGGAATTTTATCCAAGTTGGGATTCTGACCCTGTACTGTTCTGGAATCTGAAGGATTGATAAAGATGTGAACTTTTTCTAGGGGTTTTGACTAAAGAATCAAGAACTGCTGTATCTTTTTGTTTGTGGCTCAAGTTATATCTTTTTTGGAGGATTTTGACTAAATGATAGGAAACACCGCGAGAGAATGGATTTGGTGCTGGAATGGTGTGAATGATTCTTGTTTGGGACTTGCAGGTTACTGCTGCACTTGCTCAGGCTGGGTTGGAATCATCTAATCTCATAGTTGGCATTGACTTCACCAAGAGCAATGAATGGACAGGTTGAGCCTCTTTGTTCTCATCTCATGTTGTTTTCAATATGTTGTTACTCTTGGAAGAATGCTTGAGGTGTGGTTTACTTCAGGTGCCAGGTCATTCAACCACAAGAGCTTGCATCACATTGGCAACGCTCCAAACCCGTACGAACAAGCCATATCCATCATTGGAAGGACTTTGTCTGCGTTCGACGAAGATAACCTGATTCCTTGTTATGGCTTTGGAGATGGTAAGATGGTGACAGAGTATGCTCATTAGATTTCTATAGTCTGATGAAATGGAGAATGTATTCAAATATTTATTTGTTCTCTTGTAGCTTCGACACATGACCAAAATGTGTTCAGTTTCTACCCGGAAGAGAGATTCTGTCAGGGCTTCGAAGAGGTGCTGTCACGATACAGAGAAATTGTTCCTCAGCTTCGACTGGCTGGTATAGGCTTCTCTTCGCTCTTTCTGTTTATCTCCTTTATAACATTTTTACAGTTCTTGATCTCAGTTCTGCCTTCTAAAGCTGCAACTTTGTACCTTCTTGTTGACAGGGCCGACGTCCTTTGGACCAATGGTTGAAATGGGCATCAGCATTGTTGAGCAAAGTGGTGGCCAGTACCATGTCCTTGTCATTATTGCTGATGGTCAGGTAATCCAGCATGTCCGTCTGATATCTGTGTCTAGTTAATGCTTCATTTCCAAATTGCTTATGTACTTTCTTCACAGGTTATATCCGAGTCTAGTTGATGCTTCATATCCAAATTGCTTACGTACTATCTTCACAGGTTACACGGAGTGTTGACACTGGGCGTGGCCAGCTCAGTCCTCAAGAGCAGAAGACTATCGAAGCAATTGTCAAAGCGAGGTAAGTAGCAAAAGCCCCACTTCTGGTAAAAAGAATGGAAGAAATGAATGCCTAACCAACGTCTCTTCTGCTTTTGGTAATATCAGTGAATACCCTTTGTCGATTATCTTAGTCGGGGTTGGTGATGGACCTTGGGATATGATGAGGGAATTCGATGACAATATACCTGCTCGAGCCTTTGATAACTTCCAGGTAACCATTTAATCGTACTCTTGAACGTGATGAAATAAACTTCTGGATTCCTCTTCTTTCAGCTGAAGCAGTTCGAATTTCCTTTTGTTTTCTGTAGTTTGTGAACTTCACAGAGATCATGGCCAAAAATGTTAACCAAACAAGGAAGGAAACAGAATTTGCTCTTGCTGCATTGATGGAGATCCCCGCTCAATACAAAGCCACTCTCGAGCTCGGCTTATTAGGGTAATTACACAACAGAACACATTTTTAATAGTTTCATGTTTGATGTTCTTCTGTGACTAATGTTTATTTTATTATTGCCTGATTATCAAATTGCAGTCGTCGAAAGGGGAGTGGTCCAGAGAGGATAGCTCTACCTCCGCCACAATATGGCAGATCTTCCCATGGGAGCAATTCTAAGCCCTTCCGATTAACTAGTTTCCAGCAGCAAGTGCCTTCTTATCCGGAATATAGCTCACCATCAGCCAGCTATAGTGTGCCACCGGTCAGCTCAGCTCCACAATCGAGTTCTGATTCTGACAACAAGGTACAAAAGACAGAGAATTGAATTGATCACTTGGTCTATACATCGACCTGTTCAGTATGTTTATTGAAGCTCATTTGAAAGGTGAAAGGTGCTAACTTTCCTGATTTTTTCTCTTGGGGAAAACACAGGTCTGTCCCATTTGTCTTTCCAATCCCAAGAACATGGCTTTTGGCTGCGGCCATCAGGTAAGAAAGCTCAACACTTTTCCGTGCATCAATTCATAAAAAATCCCATTGATTTTGAAGGCACCACGTTGGTTAAACTTTGATATTCGTTTGTCTGTGCTTGTAGACTTGTTTTGAATGCGGAGAAGACCTGCAATTGTGTCCCATTTGCCGCAGTCCGATACAGACTAGAATCAGGCTGTATGGATAAAAGATCTGTCAGCAATCCTGAACTCGCCCAAAACTTACGAACTTAAGTAGAGGCGAGAAGATAGTTTTTGGAGTGTACAGACAGAGTCGCGATTTTCACCCCATCTTGTGGTATCTTGTATTCCTTGAACCACGACACCACAGGAATGGAGGAGATGAAGCTTGGAACGACCCGGTGTCTGATAATGTGATGTTGGACTGCCAATGGTAGATGCCTGCGTGTTTATTATTGCATTTCATTGTGGGTTTTGTGCATAAACGTAGTTGGTTAGTAGAATGGAGTTTCTTGTCTCTTGAGATGTTAGGGATGATTTGGATGAGGGGTTCTTTCTGGTGGGTAGAAGAGAAGAGATGGAGATGGCGCTCTACTCCCAACACGCATTCTTTCATTATTTTTTTCTTGCCTTATTGTTTTTGTCTGCTTCCCCTAGTCTTTGTGAGAAGATTTTCGAATGTGATTTGGGTAAACTACACCACCATGTATGTGAATATTTATTTTGCTGGTGCTTCTGGTTCCAGTTCCAGTGGTGGAATTTTGGTCATTAGGTTTGATGCTGCTGGTTTGTGGAACCCTTGTTGCATACAGATTCATTGTGAATACCATTTTCATTTTTGTAACTCTAGGGCTGTTAATGAGCCGAGCTGAACCGAGTTTTGCCTTGTTCAGGTTTGGTCAATTTATAAACGAGCCGAATTAGAGTTCAGCTCGTCTATGAACGAGCTGAGTCGAGCCGAACACGAGCCAGTTCATTTATTGAATCTTGGCTCATCATTAAAATCAAAATCTCGACACGAGCTAAACTCTAAGATAATCTATGAATTAAATACCCTAATATTTATGTCAGAGACATATTTGTTCACATACTCAAATTACATGACATGAGGTGTGATATACGATTGATAAATATATGCATCATTAACATACCAACTCATAAGATATAGATCGATTTTCTCATAAGCCGTAATCAAGTTGGCTCCCCAGTTACAATGTTGAGACATCTCATGAGTTCAAAATGAGATAATTCATGAGTCGTACTCAACAAGCCACATAATCCAATTAGTTCACGAGCCAAACAAGGTTGAGCTCAAGCTCGGCTCGTTAATAAACGAATCGAACTTTTATTGAATCGAACGAGCTTTTATCGAATTTGAGACCGAACCGTTCGCAAATAGCTTGATTCATTAATAGCCCTACGTAACTCCAATGACCAGGCTTACTACTAGCTATGCTTTTTCTGCAGCGTTGGGTTTATTGTTGGGCTTTGCGTCTCTTAAAGGTGAAGTGCGCCTTCCTTCTCTTGGGACAGATTGTCTATACATGTATTGGTTAGGGAAACGAATAAAATTCATCGTCGAAAAACTTATCAACTTTGTTAAAATAAGGGTTATAGGTATAATATGCCCCTCTACTATATGTTTTATCAAACATGCCTATATACTATTTTTTACATCAATGACCCTGTTCTTTGAAAAAATGATCAAACATGCCCTTCTGTTAAAATTTCCAATGAAAAAAACGTCAATCATGGTTGAACCGAGATTTAGACGACCTGACATCGGCAAATGGGAGGGAAAATGTCAGTTTTATCCCCATTTGATTTCTCTGGATCTTTTCAAAGTGAAATTATTTGGCTATACAAAAGAACCAAAAAATCTAAAGTGAAATTATTAGAGGTATTTTAGACATTTGTGTCGCCAAACCAAAGTTCGACCTTGGTTAACGGTTTTTGGATGAAAATTTTAACAAAAGGGCATGCTTGATCATTTTTACAAAGTACAGGGGCATGTTGATGTAAAAAATAGTAGAGGGGCATGTTTGATAAAACATCATAGTAGAGGGGCATATTATACATATAACCCTTCAAATAACTAAGGCAAAATACACTAGTATAGCAAAAAATTCACACTTTGTGACAATAATAGCCAAAATTTGAAAACACAATGTTGTAACCACATTTCTTAAACTAGTATGACTAATTTAGCCATTTTCTTCAAATAATTTTACACCATCAATAACACCCTTAGTTAAGTGGATGCAATGCTGATGTGGTTGCCACCTGACTACCACGTTATGGCCACCTAGACTTCCTTTGCCACATAATCGCCACGTCATATAAAATAGTACTCTTTAATTATGTTAATTAAATAAATAAAAAGTCATCTTCTCCATATTCCTTCTAGGGATGGAAAAATTATCCGTAACCGTGGATATCCGTCCGAATCCGACCTAGTTGGATAGGGTAAAACCCGAACCCGAAGGACTTATAATGGGTACGGGTAAAATCCGAACCCGAATATTGTGGGTAATGGGTGGGCATGATTTTCTCACTATCCAACCCGAACCCGCCCAATTATGCACGTGCATGTGTATTTTGTCTAGAAATAATAATTTTTCTCTAACATATTTTATATTTAGCATACAAATATAATATTTTCATGAAATTGTGTTGTTTTAATTAATTTTCTTCATTCTAATGATTTATTGTTATACAATTCTTTTTATGTAATGTGACTATATGTGTGAATGCTAACATATTGGTGGGAGTTTTAGAGAGAAATTATTACCCATGGATAACCGTGGATACCCGAAATCCGAACAGGTATGGGCACGATTTTGATTTTCTACCCATTTCTTATGTGGGTGTGGGTATAGGTAAAACCCGAACTACTTCGGGTAGGGTAACAGATATACACTATCCGTCCCCGACCCGACTCATTGCCATCACTAATTCCTTCCCGTCTTCGATTCCGACCCATTACACCCCACCGTCGGAGATTCCCTCCAAGTTAACGACGCCGACGCCTTGCTCCTCACCTCTCACCTCCCGCTCCCGCCGTGTTCCCCGCCCTGTGGCTTTCCCTGCCGTTGTCGCCCTCATCCTTCCTTCTACCTTGTTCTTCGTATAGATCTGCATATGGAAACCCCTAATTCTTTCGTCCCTTCCAAATCGCAAAATCATGCCATCGTCCTCCTCCCCAATCTTGTTTTCCCTTCTCAAATCCTCTGTCCCTTTCAAATCTCTATTAGCTACATCCTCAATCGGATCCAAGTGGAGTAGACGACGATGGTGGTGGCTGGTGGCAAATTTGATTGCCAAGATTGATTGGGGAGAGTTCGACTGAAGAATTGGAATATGGACGAGTACCAACAACAAGCTGGTCGACTAAAGATCCTGGGTTCACGGAGGAAGGATATATCCATAGCGCTGCCGGAGAGATTGAGAGCCTTTGCGGCTGGAGTTCAAGGTGGCACCGATCGCACCCTTTGCGCCGTTTGGAGCAGAGGCAATGACGGATAAGACTGGAGTGCCGATGCGTTCCCCTTGAAAGAGCGCAAGTAGTGCAACCCTGGGGGGTTGGATTTTTACCAAAGTACGCATCAACACAATCAATCCAAGGATTGGATTGATTAAAACGAAATTCGAACAAAAAACAAGGATGTTCTTGGGTGTTTGGATAAAACGAAATCAAACGTGCAATCTTTCACGTGGAAGAAGGCTCGAATGATATAAAGGTAGATGCCCGGCCACGATCAATGCGTTCTTGATCAATACAAGAGCTCAACGAGCTTGGAATCCACCAAAGCTCACACAAGTACGCAAACTTACAAAAAATCCCAAAGGTTTCGATTTCTTTTCAACAAAGTCTTCCTTACAACGTGAATTTGAAAGCTATTTAAAGGCAATAAAAACCTAATAAAAATATAATATAACTAGGAAACAATTAAGGTAAAAACAAACTCTAAAAACAGTACAAAACTCGGCCACAAACTTCCTTTGATGACGCACAAGTAAGCTGCTAGCAAACGGTCCAAAAGCAGCTTTCGTACTAACTTCGCGCCTTTCGTTCGAGATCTTCCGGAACTCCAATCCTTAATCCAATACCTTCCCTTTGTACATAAACATACCTATTTCATGTTGTGGAAATATTTGGACTCGAATCAGATCCATACTCCTCGAATTAAACTGCAAAGTAGGCTTCACAAAACAGTTTCAAAACAGTTTCCAAACTCCATTTTCTGGCAGTTTTCCAGTTTTGAGGTACACTTTTGAACAGCCTGAAAAATGACCTTCTGGACTTTCTCTCGAGCTCCAGAGCATACCAATGGACAAATAAACATTTCATCTTCAAAACAAACCATCAACCTCGAATTTACACCGCGCCAATTGAGATCTATGGCCTCCCAAAGTAGGCTACTTGCACACGGAAAACGATTTGGACAATTTTCTGTTTCTTTCTCGGAATTCGACTTGGCCTCTTTGACGATTAATCCTGGATGGAATTTGACCGATTTTAGGATTGTATCAGCAAGGGTATTTAAGCAGCTGGGTTTCGGCCAGGACTGGGTAATTGGGATTTCAGAGTGACAATGGAGACGATTGACGACTAAGGATTAAGGATCTGGTCGACGATTTGGGAAATAGGGATTGGGAATGGCCGATGCTGGAACTCGAAACAATCAAGGCGATGAGGTCAGAGAAGAGAATCGGTCGTTGTAGGGACTCGAGGCTCTTGTGGTCCCTTGAATCAATTTCAGGAATCCTCTTGTAGAAAATTGAGGAATGGCCGGGTGAGGTGATTTTGGGAAGAGGACGACCGTTTGTCCAGTCAGCAATCGTGACAGAATCGTTAAGTTTATAGACGGAATGGCTATATCTGTGTATTTTTCAAAATGTGCTTACTATTGTCACAACACGAATAGTTATGGTTATTGATATATATTTTGCCAATAACTAATAACTTTGTTAGCACTAATAAATAATTAGCTATAGAATTACGATTCTATGAACTTCTTAGCTATTTTTTGTTGTTAAAAGTTATGGGGTCGTATGGATGGATTAATTGTCAATGTGGTATTTGTAGAATCAAATAACTCATCAATTGTTTATGTGGTATTTCAGTGGTAATTGGAATAAAGTATTTCGTTTGGTAGAACCATGCAAATGTGGTATCTGACATGTGGTATTTGGCAAAAACTGAGTGGTAAAACGACTTATTTCGAAATAATACAGGGGTATGAGTATTTCAAATAACTCGTTTTAAGTTATTTATAAATAACTCACTGTCCAAATAACTCGTTTCAGTAAAATGCTGCCAAACGAGTTATTTGTGTCCAAATAACTCACTGAGATATTCCAGCCAAATGACCCATAATAAGTTCTTAATAATTTGAGTTAGAGTGTAAAAGTGTTCCACACCGTTATTTCAGTCATCATAGTTATACTAATCAGTGGTGGATCCAGAACATAATAGAGCACTTGTCCTCATTTCATTAGAAAATTAGATGTCGTAAAAAAATCATAGTTACCTTTACAATGTCAATTGTACAAACAGTCTTTTAATTCAGAGAATTCATCAATGATGGAGTTTTCATCCATAACAATAACATACTCTCTTAAAATAAAATAGTTAACCAATTAGCAATAAATCCATCCCTCATATTGTTGTGCCAATCAGTTTCACATATTTCATTGTTGTAAAGTTTCTCTCCATAGTAGCTGCTGAAATGGGCAACATCAACATTAGGGGCATCAACCGATTAATCAATTTATATTATGTGTTCATCCCTATTTCCACAAGCTTCTCTAGTAATTTTGCAAAAGAACAAACCTCATATTTCTTTAAGTCTTTGCGTTTTAGAATAATGATTTGAATATGTTCCCCTGAAACATTGTTCTAATTACACACAATCTTATTATCAAATAACACTAGGTCGAATGTCTAAAATCGAAAAAAATTCATAAGTGCTATACCAGCTGCGAATCTAAAGGAGTGCTGGGCCATTGCTCGGGGTGACCACCCCTCAATCCACCATTGTTAGTAATTGTTGTTTTTTCTTCCGGCATCTAAACA